AAACATACAGTCAGTAGATCATCCATCGACGTGTTTAGATAGTATTTTATAACATGTTATACTAAATTCTAAAGGACTAATAAACACAAAAAAAGTCATACAAAGCCAAACACGAAAAAACAATGCCACAAAAACAAAAAGATATAAGAAGATGCAGAAGATGAAAGAAACTCCGGACTTTTCAATCAATAAAAGATCAGAAGTGACTATTCGGTGGGATCTTTAGTGGCACGATTCATGGTATACACACCTCACTCCATCCCTGCAGGTCGGTGATCGAGAAATGAGTACACCTGCTGTTACCAACTGCATGTATCGTAAGAGGCGACAAATTTGGGAATGTTTGAAGAATCGGGGATTGGCTCTACTTGGGGACACAAAAACGATCAAAATAATTGTGGTTCGCAAATAGCAATAGTTGGGATCTTTATATTCTCTCTAATTCTAATAGCCTTTTATTTCCTAGCGCCATGTTTGGCAATGTGTCACTTTAGGCTTCAATGATCTTTCGCACAGGTGAGGACGGCAATTGGTTTTGTCCCCAAGCCGGGACATACCGCAGTCCAAAAACTGGTAGCTGTTATTCCCTGCTTACCGTTCAGAATTTTGTGAAATGGCAAAAACTAGTTCACCAATTGTCAGTATAATTTGAACGGATGGAATGCCGTGCTGGGTGCCTTCGAATTGGTATTTCAGTGAGATATCACTATAATGTTGGCATCAGATCCGCGCTAACAACAAGGAGCCAAGTACATCAAAATACCCTGTCTCCGGCACACATACACACATGCTCGCATGCACAACATACATAGAGGCACGTCCTTAAATGACATTAGCTGTTGATAGGATGTTAAACAAAATAAAAACAAACCAAACACACTTCACTCATTATTAATTTCAAATTAACCTGTGTTCTTATTATTTTTTAAATCCATATGATAAAGGGATTTTACAAAAAATCGCTTTCCTTTTTTTAACAGTAGATGAGACAAATTGGCCTTCCAACTTTCGACCACTGGCATCACCGATAATTCCTCAAAGAACAAAACAACTCGTTGGTTCAGTGTAATTCCTTGTTTTCGCATACTGTATCTATTACCAAATGTCAAAGGTACAGTCACGCGTTCATTTATCCGGTATTATGATGAACTCTCAAGAACATGTTAGCACAAGAAGGTCATACAGGTCCAACACTGTAAAACCACTCGCATAAAACAATGACTTAAAACGAAATCGACATGTGAAAATGCAGGATATAAACGTCTATGATTACAAGATCACAAAAATTTGATATATTTGGCAATTTCTTTTCTAAAATTTTCTAAAATATTAAGGAATGCAATTTTCTAACATTTTTCCGATAAATGAGAAGATATTAATAAGTGATAAGTTCAAAAACATAGGTGAATAAATATTTTGGTCAAATGGTACATGTAACGACTATTTTTTTTATGAAAACTCAAGTCTGGCATTAGGTTAATCTTCGTGAAATGAGAGTCGGTACACAATTGTGTCCAAAACACAATTTTTCATTTAAAATTATTCAAACCATGTTACACGTGATGCTGAATATTTTAAAGCAAATATTATTCTTTATTTGGAAATATAAGTAATCTTAAATTTCCAATATATGAAGATAGGTGTAATATGCCCGAAATATAGACCCGAAGACAACGGGTATAATCAAGATATTACGTAGAGTGGAACAAACAACAAAGGGAAAGCTGTATAGCTAGAAACAATACTCTACTTGGAAAATTATTTCAGTTTGTTCATTCTTACAGTTGCTTCCTTTGAAGTAATGACTATTTAAGCAAATGTTGTTATAGGACCATAACAACATTTGCTAAAATATTCATTATTTATATTTACATTTTGATAGAGTAGTTATGCTTTATCTAGTTATTTCGAACAGTTCTTTGAACAGCAAATTATTAAGTGCAGACGACAATGAAATTGATGACGTCACAAATGTTGTTACAGTCTCATAACAACATTTGCCTTCTCAATGCATTGCAATGAAAGGATGCAGAGCAAATGTAAATATTTCGTAATGAGCTTGGAATTTTGTGCTACATGGTATACAATGCACACCAGGAATTGTTGAGGTTTTTAAACCGTATACAGCCGCACAAGCTACTGCCGACGAGACCGCACGACGGCTTAAGACGGTAACAAACCCGATAAAAACATTAAATGTTACCCGAATCTTTATTAATTTTTTATGTTTTCTCGCTGATTTCAATTTAACATATTCATGAAATACAAGATTTTAGAGGTATGAAATATGAATGAAATTTGAACATGACGAAAATCGTTATAAAGGACTGTCATAACAAGAGTTAATCTAAGACCTATCAGGTACGTTTTCCATAAATGCCATGTAAGTTCATCTAAGCGATTTGACGTCTACACCGCAAGGACGCAAGATGGTCAATAAAATTGGACACGTTAACGTTTTTCTGTCTCCTCCATTATGAAAAAAAAGATCGTCTAGTTTGTGTTCTTTTACTGAAATAGTCTCTGCTGATACTTATACCTTTACCACTCAGATTTATATCTGATTTAATGCATCATTTCAATTAAGTGTTGCCCCGAAATTACACAGAAACAAGTACTGGATATAAAGAGTAGTAAAACAAACACCTCTTGCTGAAAACGACAGGTGTGTCTCAAAGAAATAGAAGATATTCCTGTCAACATCCTCGATATCCAGGAGTCACGTTCCGCTCTCTGCACCCCTGGGATATGTCATAGAAAAATTGAAGGCACAACGATAGTTGTTTGGTTGGTCTCAGGTAAAAAAAAAAAAACCCTGACCAATCGCTAGGCTGATATCTGTCCTTTGAAGATTACAAAGGGGCGACACTCGATTTCAAAGTCAGTCAATTTTTACCGTTATGCGAACGCGAGATTCTTTTGATGCACATCAAAGAATCGAACTAACCTCATTAACAAGACGGTACACACTGAGCCTTCAATTTTGCTATGACATATATTCCAGGGGTGCAGAGAGCGTACGTGAACGTCATCCCTGGATATCGAGGATGCCCTGTCAAGTGTGGGAGCAAAACATTGCAAATATTTTTGAAACGATATCTTTAAGAAGTTGATATGAAAATATTTGCATTAGCCCGTGTATGTGTTTCCACAGAGTGGAGGTTGACCTATAATGCGATCATTTGGATCATAACAAGCAAATATATGTATACATGCAACACGATCAGACCGATAGAGATGTCATTTAAACGCGATTACCTATAAGTGATACAAATGAAGTAAGGATGCTTTGGAGCCATATACTGTCACTTGTTCTTCTATATGAAAATGTTACTGTAAATGGACATCCATGTATTTAAAGATCCCTGTACCAGAGCCAAAAACTGTAACTATGTACTGGAAACTGGTTTCTCCGGCAGGACTATATAGCTTAAATAAATCATTTCTGAAAAGAAAATCATACCTTGCTTGGGGGACTTTTATGAAAAATAATAAAGATGAAACAAAAACCACCAAAAAACCTCAACAGCAGTGTTCTGAGTGTAACAATTATGTATGCCTAGACCGGGATTCGAACCCTGGACTTCAGATTGTAATATAGATTGTATGAAGGGAAAAACACAGTCCAGTGGGACAGTGACAGTAGGGCAGGGACAGTGGGACATGGACAGTAGGGCAGGGACAGTAGGGAAGGGACAGTGGGACATGGTCATTGTGACAGGGATAGTAGGATATGGACAGTTGGACAGGGACAGTAGGGCAGGGACAGTAGGGCAGGGACAGTGGGACATGGTCATTGTGACAGGGATAGTAGGACATGGAACCCTGACCAAGGACAGTAGGGCAGGGACAGTAGGGCAGGGACAGTAGGACATGGACAGTTGGACAGGGACAGTAGGGCAGGGTCAGGCGGGCAGGGACAGTGGGACATGGACAGTAGGGCAGGGACAGTAGGACATGGACAGTGGGACAGGGATAGCGGGACAGGGATAGTAGGGCAGGGACAGTAGGACATGAACAGTAGGGCAGGGACAGTAGGGCAGGGACAGTAGGACATGGACAGTTGGACAGGGACAGAAGGGGAGGATAGTAGGACATGGACAGTTGGACAGGGACAGTAGGGCAGGGATAGTAGGGCAGGGACAGTAGGACATCAACAGTAGGGCAGGGACAGTAGGACAGGGACAGTAGGACATGGACAGTGGGACAGGAAAAGTAGGGCAGGGACAGTAGGGCAGGGACAGTGAGCCATGGACAGTTGGGCAGGGACAGTAGGGCAGGGACAGCGGGGCATGGACAGTAGGGCAGGGACAGTAGAGCAGGGATAGTGGGACATGGACAGAGGGACAGGGATAGTGGGACATGAACAGTAGGGCAGGGACAGTAGGGCATGGACAGTAGGGGAGGGACAGTGGGACAGGGACAGTGAGCCATGGACAGTAGGGCAGGGACAGTAGGATAGGGACAGTAGGGCAGGGACAGTAGGGCAGGGATAGTGGGACATGGACAGAGGGACAGGGATAGTGGGACATGAACAGTAGGGCAGGGACAGTAGGGCATGGAAAGTAGGGGAGGGACAGTTGGACAGGGACAGTAGGGCAGGGACAGTGGGACATGGACAGTAGGGCAGGGACAGTGGGGCATGGACAGTAGGGCAGAGACAGTGGGATAGGGACAGTAGGGCAGGGACAGTAGGACAGGGACAGTAGGGCAGGGACAGTGGGACATGGACAGTAGGGCAGAGACAGTGGGATATTGACAGTGTGACAGGGATAGTATGGCAGGGACAGTAGAACAGGGACAGTGGGACAGGGATATTAGGGCAGGGACAGTAGGGCAGGGACAGTGGGACATGTACAGTTGGACAGGGATAGTAGGGAGGGGAAAGTAGGACAGGGAAAGTAGGGCAGGGACAGTGGGACATGGACAGTGGGACATGGACAGTGGGACAGGGATAGTAGGGCAGGGACAATAGGGCAGGGAAGGTGGGAAATAGACAGTTAGACATGGACAGTGAGACATGGACAGTAGGGCAGGGACAGTAGGACAGGGACAGTAGGGCAGGGACAGTAGGGCATGGACAGTGGGACATGGACAGTAAGGCAGGGATAGTGTGACATGGACAGTGAGACATGGACAGTAGGGCAGGGACAGTAGGGCAGGGACAGTGCGACATGGACAGTAAGGCAGGGATAGTTGGACATGGACAGGGAGACATGGATAGTAGGGCAGGGACAGTAGGGCAGGGACAGTGGGACAGGGACAGTAGGGAAGGGACAGTAGGACAGGGACAGTAGGGCAGGGACAGTGGGACATGTACAGTTGGACAGGGATAGTAGGGAGGGGAAAGTAGGACAGGGAAAGTAGGGCAGGGACAGTGGGACATGGACAGTAAGGCAGGGATAGTTGGACATGGACAGTGAGACATGGATAGTAGGGCAGGGACAGTAGGGCAGGGACAGTAGGGCAGGGACAGTGAAACATGGACAGTAGGGCAGGGACAGTGGGACATGGACAGTAGGGCAGGGACAATGGGACATTGTCATTGGGACAGGGATAGTGGGACATGGACAGTGAGACATGGACAGTAGGGCAGGGACAATAGGGCAGGGACAGTAGGGCAGGGACAGTGGGACATGGACAGTAGGGCAGGGACAATGGGGCAGGGACAGTAGGGCAGGGACAGTGAAACATGGACAGTAGGGCAGGGACAGTGGGGCATGGACAGTAGGGCAGGGACAATAGGGCAGGGACAGTAGGGCAGGGACAGTGAGGCAGGGACAGTAGGGCAGGGACAGTGAGCCATGGACAGTAGGGCAGGGACAGTATGGCAGGGACAGTGGGACATGGGCAGTAGGGCAGGGACAGTAGGGCAGGGACAGTGAGCCAGGGACAGTAGGGCAGGGACAGTAGGGCAGGGACAGTGGGACATGGGCAGTAGGGCAGGGACAGTAGGGCAGGGACACTGGGGCAGTGTCATTGGGACTGCGACAGTAGGGCAGGGACAGTGGGACATGGTCATTGGAACAGGGATAGTGGGACATAGACAGTGAGACATGGACAATTGGACAGGGACAGTGGGACATAGACAGCGAGACAACGACAGTGGTACATGGACAGTGGGACAGGGACAGTTAGACAGGGACAGTGGGACAGTGTCATTTGGACAGGATCATCGGGACATGGATAGTGGGACATGGACAGTTGGACTGGGACAGGGACAGTGAAACAGGGACAGTGGGACGTAGATAAATAAGCAATCAAATATTTTTAAGAGTTCATTATCTTAATATATATATATTTCTAATATACAATAATTAAAAAACGCCCTGTATAATTTGCAAAATAATTCTAAGGCGCTTTACAGCACATGGATAATATTTTTCTTACATTTACAGCTATAAATACATTTGATCAGAAAAGGCATACAATGCAATACAAGGCATCTAAGATTAGCGCCTTGATGAATCGATGCACTTGCAATTTATGTAAAAGACGCTATAAAAAACAAAGTATATCTTAACATTTTTTAATATTTCAGGAGCAAAAAGCGCTACATGTAAATAACATTATAACCGTTAACATATGTACGGTAACAGTGTAATCTATCATATAAATCGACTGATTAAAAACGGTAAATCATAAAAAGTTGTATACGCAGTATATCTGTTTTCATAAGTAAGCCAGTTAGACCATCCTACATACAGATTAATGTAACTCTGATACTATGTACTATAACCAACACATTAAAACTCTAATATGTTGTAATGTCTCAACTTAATCTCCGATCGTGTTTCTTAATAGTAAATTCATATTTCTCAAACTTGATATAGTGAAGTGATATTTTTTTCTTTTTAAAAGCGTTCATCATAAATCGTCATCAACTCGATTGTCCTTGTCATAAATCAGGTATTAAAATATAGAATTAGCATTTGACGACAAATATAAAAATACGACTCCCCATAACTTGTGAATTGTATTGGCTACTGCAGATTTTAATACACTCGTAAACCTAAAGGATGTAGACTTTAAATTTTCCTAGATGTTTTTCATTGGTCAGTTTATAATACTGTATCAAATGAAATGTTAGTAGATACGTTGCTTCCTGTTTTGAAGCTTTTAAGTTAGTTTCGTGGTAAAAACTTTCGTGGATATAATATGATTATTAAATATAATATATTTAATATGATTTCAATAATATAAAATAGCCAAACGAGATATCTGCAAAATTCCATTTTTTTCGGATACAGAACACATTTTATAGTAAAAAAAAGCAGTCCAAATGAGTCCTATGTGACATTTTTACTTTTGGAGAAATTCCACATTTTGTCCGAATGTCTGCTCGTGAAATCTTCTGAATAAGAATATACTACTGTATTCCGTTTTCGGCCGGGTTCAGTACGGTTTGTTGATTAGTCACTCCCATGACTCAAAATGGCGTCGCATACATGTAGGTAGGAAATTTCAAACAATTTCAACCCGAGGACTCTACTGACGGAATACAGCAGCTGTCGGTGATAATAAGGCTGGTTTTGGATCAATAAACAACCCATGTATTGATACTTTAGAGGTATGTGTTGTATTATAACAGATTTTTGCTATCAGCACCTTGGAATTTACCAAAACCATACGCTGATACGTCGACCTCGATGTCAGATAATTCCACGTTTTCATTTTTAATAATAATAATAATGTATGTTATTTAACTATCAAATACGAATTCACAAATAAGGTTTTCATGTTAAAATACATACTTAAGAATTAGTATCCAGCATAATTGACCTATGCGACACTATTTGACATTAAAATACAGATTATACAGTAATAAAATACAACACATGTAAACAAACACTTGTCGAATATATCATTTAAATGCGTTGTATTTATTTTTGTGATTCCATAGCAACCACGAAAACAATGAATGCTTATTAAACGAATATATAATTTTATTCAGTACATGACAACCGCTATACAACTCCCAAATATTGCATGTAATAAAGACTTACAGGGTATATTTGATCGCCCCAACATAACTTTAATCCTTTAACATTGACATTACTTTCGTGGTAGGTGTTAATATAAAGTAAATGTCATTTTATATGCAAATAAAACGATGACATTCTGACTTGCCTTTGTTTGAGTTATGTCTGTAATGATTATTGAGTTTTTGGAATTATGACTGAATTCATTGTTCAGAAAAGATACACTTTGTATATCGAATTGATTGCATTCCTAGTTTTATTTCTACCACATGATGACAACTTCAGCAAGCTAGTGACAAATGACACGTGGACGGTTTAGCATAGCACGAATGACAGATAAAACAAAACAAAGATACCAAAAAAATAAAATAAAAATAAAAATATAAAAGATCGAAACAAAAATACAAAATGTGACAGCAAAAAAAATGGATGCGTTTGCATAAACCTGACCTCACGAAAGGATTGGTGGATCACAACCTGCAAGATCTGCCCTCACTGAACCTCTTCAACATATCCATCCTTCCTATTACAGAAAACAAAGAATTGAAGGAGACTTATGCAGTATTGAGTCACTTTCTGTCAGGGTAAAATGATCTTATCTATGACGATACCTGTTTTAGGCTTTTTATAAGATACATGTATTGCAAATTTTAGGATTTTACGCGCCGACTGCCAAGTGTTCACGTAAGCAGGATGCTAAAATATACTGTGACAGATTTTAATTGTACATGTATAGGATTACGGTCGCTTTCTAGCTTCGAGCTAGAAAGAATTTCCCTTTCGCTCAATGGTAGAGCGTCCGACTAGAAACAGGGATGGTGAGTTCGGTCCCCGGTGGAAGCACGCTATTATCTTTCTCCTGTAACAGTATCATACATATTTATAAGCACAATGCCAAACCGTGAACCCGTACACAGGTAAAGCATAAATGCAACGACTAGACCGGGATTCGAACTCGGGTCCTACGAACTCTAGACGGACGCTGTAATTAATTGAGCTAACTGGTCGCCGGCAATCAACCCAGTCAGGTTCCGCTACATTCCCTTCCATCAACGACGTGTTAGACCCAGAAGACACACAAGACCCTATACCACCTTCCGTAAGTAAGATATAGTTGGGCACAAAATCTAACATGTAAGGAAAAATGCAAACGGCCAGACTGAGAATCAAACCCATGATATCTAGAATCTAAACCACTGCTTTAGCCTACTACCCGTTCTGAAAATGTAATAGTAAAGCGATAATGCAATGGCCAGACCTGGATTTAAACCCGAGATCTCTACTCTCCTGACGGACGCTAAAACCAACTACCTAGTCGCCGGTGATGGACACACTCATACACTCAGATGTGTGCATATTTCATATTTGTTTAGGATGACACCAGCCTTTTTTTAATAAGGAAGAAATATCTGCTCACTTTGAACATCTGATAACGTTGATATGTAGGAAATGATCACGTTCCGCTGTATTGTAACGCAAGAGAAATGATCGCGCCAGGTCAATTTGCGCACATTGACTTGCCATGGTAGAAAGATGATATAAAGAAATGTTTCCTGATGTATCGGTCGTTAATTATCTCCTCGCAATGAAACATGGAGGGGATGAACCGTTTCTTTACAAAATCTCATGACAAATTATAAACTGGCGGAAAAAAAGTGTCATATATTGAAATTTCACTTTCGATTACGCCCAAATACAGAACTTTGCAGTACAATTTTTACACACGTGTGGTAAACTTGAATACCATTGCAAAGCGAATTTTGTTATCTGTACCTATACAGTTCACAACAAGTAAGTTCAAAAACCAAAACGGCACGAGGTCTGAAGTTGAGAGAGGACGAGTTGATTGCTTTAGTTTTGAAAGGTCAAATGCAAGGTCGCGTCGCCCTACTGTTTGGTGTCCATGCATCATCTATTGCCCGCCTGTCACAGTGATCGATTAACAGACCATCCCAGAAATGGATGTCCAAACGTAAGGTCGTAACGTCAACACAGAGCGATAGTCTGCTTCACCTCCGGGACGGCGACGGCAACAGTGAATAACGTATTATTTATTCATGGGCGCCAAGTGTGCCTGTAAATGCTAAGAAATCAGATGCGCGATTTCCACTTGAAGCCACATCGGCCTTACGTTGGACCGTAACTTAATCAAAAGCGACGAGAACGCCGTCTGCAATGGTACTGTGAACAGGCCCCATAGGTGTCTCGCTTGATTGATTCGATGCATGTCCTGTTTATTGACAAGTCTCGTTCTACGATTTTCTGGTCTGGTGGCCGCGATGTCGCAATGAACAATGTGCTTATTAATGCATGCCTACTGACGTCGCGATGAGCACGGTGCATGCTTTAAGGGAAATGACTGATTTGGAAGAAGTTAACTGTTAAACTTAACTCAAATAAAATTTCTTCAAAACCCTTTGCGAAATTTCGGTGTGACGAAAAACATTAAATGAGCTTGCGTTTTAGGGCTCTACGCTAAAGGTCGATGTTATGTAAACAAAGGGAACATTTCTTGTGTGAGTTGTCTGTGGAATAAAATCCACGTTGTGTAATGTTTATTGAAGCAGAATTTTAACCTTTTATGTTTGCGTTTTTTCATCCAAAATACAAATATCGATCTTACACCAGCAAAATATCAACTATATACAAGGAAAATGTCTTGCCCAACAAACTATGCGGTTGCCAAAGCAATGGGTGAATTTCTATTAATGTCTTCAAATATGTGTCAGACAGAATGTGTTTGAGAGCGGATTTATACCGTTTCATGATTACAAGAATACGCAGTGTACATTTCGTCATCACGATCTCGATAAAAAACATTACTCTAACCTTTATATATATTTGTCTTTAATGATATTTAAATGAATCAGAGATACATATCGTACGATCTTTATAACCCTTCTTTATTACGACCAGGACCAAGATAGACGGAGGAATCTCAAACCGAAGAGCAAACCCTCTTGTCAAAGTTAAAAAATCTCATCCCGAGGGGTGAGATTTCTTTGCTTGCATTACACAAGCTTAATTTATTATTTTCCTCCACACTTTCCCATCGTAAAGGGCAAATGGAACGTATGAAAAATTTGGTGACGCTATCTTGGTTA